AAGATCGGCATAGCATGGCAGGCTGCTGAACAATGACTTGGCTACATGCAGGGTTCAAGCATGCCATAATCTAGAGACCATTCCCAAAGCTGCTTCTTATATATGGGAAGCAGACCATATCCCTAAAGCAGCTACTCAGCTGCTCCAATACATTCCACCATGGAGTTCATTACCAATCTTACCATGGGGAATAACTACATCCAGCTGCCCAGCCACTCAACCAGGCCTAGCCAAGTTGACACATAAACTTAACTACCACAGAGAGCAAGGAAAAAATGGGTGGGATGGTTGACTGGCTTCCAACGCCTTCATTATACTTCTTGAGATCCTGAAACAGCTCAGTTAACCCCTCCAAGTGGTGGGATCGTATCTTCTTCCTTAGTAATCAATTCCAAAATAAAAACCAAATCCACTGCCATCAAGTTAATTCTGAATTCTAAAATAGAGAAGGAAAATTAATTTACCATGCAAGCTCAAGTTAAGAGGAGCAGCAGGTACATTGGTGCTGTGGTCCTATTCGTAAATATGAAAAAAAAAAAGAGTTTATTTGTTTTTAGAGAATAATTTTTAAAGCAAGTCAAAAAGAAACTAAGAGTTTATTTTTTTAGAACAATTTCTGAAACAAGTCAAATAAAAACTATCATCACCTCACTTTTAATTCTCCAAGCCAAGGAAAACTGGCCTCATCAAAACTCAACTGGGTCAACCTTCCCTCAGAACCATCTACAAAATTAATATTGTGCCTCTTCCTACTACAGTAAAAACTATGAAACCTGGGACGTGTAAGGTGGAAACCTATCAGAGAAGGAAAACGCAAATATTTTCCACTAAAACAAGCAATAGAAAAGGTCAAAGGTGGAAAACTTGAGAGATCCAAAAAAACAAGTCAGTCCTGTTGAGCTCTGGCTCTCACAGGTTTCGATGTACATGACAGTATTAAATGGCAGCAACAAACCAATCCCAAACTTTCCATTAGCATACACTTGCTGGGTGTTTCAGATTAGGTACTTCCCCTCCTCTGGAACCAGGCCAGTAACTTCACTCTCGCTCATACAGTCATTCTAGTTTCTGGTCTTTGCTTAGGTTGTCTGTCCCACCACGAAGGCCCTCTTGCCTCAATCCCACACAACCAAAAGGATTTTGAACCCATCCCTCCGTTTGGCTAGGATTGTGGTTGTTGTTACATGCCATCGAGTTGGACCCAACTCATAGCTACCCTTCCTTGGGTTTCCAAGGCGGCACCACTATGGAAGTAGATTGCCCAACCTTCCTTCTGAAGAGTGGCTGGTGGGTTTGAACTGCCCGCCTTCTGGTTAGCAGTCAAATGCCTTAAGCACTATGCTACCTAATCAGCTGAACATTCACTGCATCTCCTACTGCAGTTAAGCAGCACTCAACTGTTATTTCATACATATTATTTGTCTTCCAAATTAGGCTGAAAATTCCCTGAATATAGGGACTAAGAACTTGCATTATCATCAGCGATATGCAGTGAAATGATTCTTAAGTTATTTGCTGATTAACTTAGTCCTATGCAACTCATTGGTCTAGAATACAGAATGAATTCCTCTGCAATTCCTGAAAGATCCTTTTCACTGGGATGGCTGCCTACCTTAGCCACCAGGAAGTTGTTGAAATGACATAGGGTTGCTAGACAGGACAGGCACACTTGAAAAGACTGACATCTCATACAGAAAGGATATGTCGGGCAGGACAGGCATACCTAGCCACACAGTCAGCTAGTGATATTTTGTAGGATACCATACTTGGCATAATTGCTTACCAGGTGTCATAGAGAGATTTTTTGTTTTCTTTTTCTTTTTCTTTGGTTGTTCCACCTCAGGTTCCAGCTCTTCATCAGTTGACAACTTTCCATTCACAATTTTTAGTTTAGGCTCAGCAGCATTTGGTGATTGGCAGAGATTTTCACCAAGATTCTGCTCACCAATATCATTGGATGAATTGTGTTGGGAGACAGCAAATTCACCCAGCTCTCTATCATTTGAGGTGCTTTGGCCCTCATCATATAAATTGCCTTCTTTTAGTACTGGGCCCTCCAAATCATTGCTATCATCATTGTTAATAGGAAGAAATGGAAGCTCGCTGGTAGTAAGCTGTTCATCAGTATCAGATGACTTTTCCAGAATCTCATCTGAAATTCAAGAGACACGATCACCACAATCACACACACACATACATATATATTTTTTTCTTTCCCTCATCCCCTTATTCATTAAATTTCAACAGAGATTACTGAGCACAAGTTAAACAAGTCAGGAACTATGACATTGTGACCTTTTAGAACCACAGTTATTTTAGATAAATATTTTAGTTTTCCCTCTGTCTCTTTTTTATTTTACTGAGAGCAGTGATAGACAAAATAGCAATCAAAGTCTAATGGCAATTTTCAAATCACACTCTCTAAGTAGTATGATGTAGCTCTTCAGTGGTTCCCAAACACAAGACTGCAGACCTGTATATTTTCACAGCAAAAAAAAAAAAAAAAAAAAGAGAGAGAGAATAAATTAGAACAATAAAATGTGTTTTTATCCCCCATCAAGTTAAATTTCTACAATTTAAAGAACTGTCCTATGTTTTGAGATTATGTCCTTGCTAAGCTTTTGGTGTTCTACACTTTATGAAATTATGGTAATAGTAAGTACCAATTGGAATTTTTTTATTTCCCACATTAAAAAATTAAAAATTAGCAACTCTATATTGGTCACCAATATTTAATTTCTTTTTATTAGCCCATAAATCTAAAGATCTCAGAACCAGTGAGTTAAGTCCTGACACTAGCACTCTCTAAGAGGCCTTGAGAACATTAGGAACACCACTGTCCTTCACTGAGGGGTTCTTTGTTTAGAAAATAAGGAGGCGTCTAACACCAGATTCTCTCTAAAGTCTACGTAGTACTTGATTTCTAGATTTCTAGGATTCTAAATGTAAAAATATAAACCATGCATGACATGGGCAAGATGTGATGATGTATTTGTGGTACAAAAACACTTTATCCTAAAAATGGAGATTTGGGATAATTTTTTGAGATTTTCTTCTGTTGAGTTAATTATAAAAAAATTAAATATTCAATAAATAAAGAGAAAGTAGTATGTGTCCCTATGGTAAAAAGGTCATCATCCTTCTTAGAAAATTAAAAGATTTCCCACCCATAGTTGAAATTAAACAACAACCAAAAAAAGCAGCAACACACTGCTTATTTTAAAAATTGACAAAGATCAGAAGTGAGGTGGGAAGTACGTTTTAAAGCTCATCAGACCATTTTTTCCTGTAAAATTATCTAAATTTATTACACAACAAGAACAACAACAACAAAAATAGCATATGGAAAAGACTAACCAAAAAACCAAACTCACTGCCATGAAATTGAATTTGACTCATAGTGATCCTATACAACAGAGTAGAACTGGTCCATAGGATTTCCAAGGCTGTAAATCTTTACAGAAGTAGACTGCTACATCTTTCTCCTGCAGAGCAACTGGTGAGTTCAAAGCGCTGACCTTTTGGTTAACAGCCAAATGCCTTAACCACTGTGCCACCAGAGCTCCTGGAGAAGAGTAAAGAAATCTATGAAGACAGTCCCTCTCTCCCCCAATTATCGGGATGGATGCCCACAGCTAGAGTCCAAAAATCAGAAAGGTAAGAGAAGCCTGACTGAAAGTTCCTCCTCAAAAGAACATGCTCTGAAGGGGCAACAGTAAGACCAATAAATTCCTACAACACTGTGAGGGGCACCTCAAGGCAGCCCCAATAAAGCCCTTGAACAGTTAAAAAATATATATATAGACTTTGATTCAAAGAGTTAGGAACTTGTGGCCTATGGTGATTAATTGGTTTCTGGCTCTGTCACTCCTGCCCTGCTCTGAAGCTACCTCCTTTAGTGTTCCCCTTGCATTACAGTAACTTGACAGACTCCCTACTCTGCACCTGAATCTCTGCCCTGCTCAGGCACATCCACTGAGAGCTAGAAAGAGGGAAAAGAAAAAAAAAAATTAGAAGGGCAGGTGGTGCAACTGTAGGAGACTAGGGTAGTAAGCCATCTCTCCTGTCCCTGTTGTGATATGCCAGGTTGGCTTGGAATCTCTGAACAATGGTAGCTCCTGGGAACTTAGCAAGGAAATAGCCTGTGCTTTCACAACTTCCCATTTTCAGTTAAGTGCAGTAAGCATTAACTAGGTGCCTATGTATCATTCCCTAAACCTGGTACTGAGCAAATAAAGGTAAATAAAATACCACCTCTAATGCTTAAGAAACTTCTAGTCTTCTTGTGTTTCATGCCAACTGAGCAGGTTCTGAAATGTGGGTAAAAAGCTGGAAGGTAAAGATTCTGAAAGGTTAAAAGAAAAAAAAAAAAAGCCTCTAAATGCAAACAGGCCAAGATCTGCTTGGGAAACAATCTCTAAGAAAAACAGAAATCTCTAGAAAATATAAAAAGAGTTTCTGTTGTTGTTAGGTGCCATCAAGTCAATTCCAACTCATAGCAACCCCATGGACAACAGAACAAAACACTGCCCAGTCATGTGTCATCCTCACAATCCTTGCTATACTTGAGCCCAGCATTGCAGCCACTATGTCAATCCAACTTGTTGAGGATCTCCTTTTTTCCACTGTCTTACCAAGCATGATATCGCTCTCCAAGGACTAGTCCCTTCTGACCACATGATCAAAGTAGGTGAGACAAAGTCTGGCCATTTTCATTTCTAAGGAGCATTTCAGCTGCACTTCTTCCCAGACAGATTCTTCTGGCAGTCCATGGTATCTTCAGTATTCTTCACCAACACCATAATTCAAAAGCATCACTTCTTCTTCAGTCTTCCTTATTCATCATCCAGCTTTCACATGCATATGAGGTGATTGAAAATACCATGGCTTGGGCTAGGTGCACCTTACTCTTCACAGGGAAATTTTTGCTTCTTGACATTTTAAAGAGGTCTTTTGCAGCACTTTTGCCCAATATAAAAGGCCATCTTATTTCTTGACTACTGCTTCCATGGGTGTTCACTGTGGATCCAAGTAAAATGAAATCCTTGACAACTTCAATCTTTTCTCCATTTATCGTGGTGTTGCTTATTGGTCCAGTTGTGAGGATTTTCATTTTCTTTATGTTGAGGTGTAATCCATACTGAAGACTGTAGTCATTGTTCTTCATCAGCAAGTGCTTCAAGTCATCTTCACTTTCAGCAAGCAAGGTTGTGTCATCTGTATATCACAGGCTGTTAATGGTTCTTCCTCCAATCTTGATGTTGTGTTCTTCTTCATACAGTCTAGCTTCTCAGATTATTTGCTCAGCATACAGATTGAATAAGTATGGTGAAAGGATACAACCCTGACACACTCCCTTTTTGATTTTAAACCATGCAGTGTCCCCTCATTCTGTTCGAATGACAGCCTCCTAGTCTGTGTACAGGTTTCTCATGAGTACAATTAAGTGTTCTGGAATTCCCATTCTTCTCAATGTTATCCATAATTTACTATGACTGACACAGTCAAATGCCTTTGCATAGCCAATAAAACACAGATAAACATCTTTCTGGTATTCTTTGCTTTCAGCCAAAATCCATGTGACAACAGTAATGATATCCCTTGTTCCACATCCTCTTCTGAATACAGCTTGAATTTCTGGAAGTTGCCTGTCAATGTACTGCTGCAACCTTTTTTTAAATTATCTTTGGCAAATTTTTACTTGTATGTGGAGTTAATGATATTGTTTGATAATTTCCACATTCTTTTGGATCACCTCTTATTTGAAATGGGCACAAAAATCAATCTCTTCCCGTCAGTTGGCCAGGTAGCTGTCTTACAAATTTCTTGACATAAACGAGTAAGCACCTCCAACACTGCAACTGTTTATTGAAACATCTCAATGAGTATTTTGCCAGGTCCTTCAGTGCAGCTTGGATTTCTTCCTTCAATACCATTGGTTCCTGATCATATGCTACCTTCCTGAAATAGTTGAATATTGGCCACTTCTTTTCAGTACAGTGACTCTGTGTATTCTTCCATCTTCTTTTGATACTTCTTGTATCATTCAATATTTTTCCCATAGAATCCTTCATATTGCAATTCAAGGCTTGAATTTGGTCTTCAGCTCTTTCAGATTGAGAAATGCTGACCATGTTCTTCCCTTTTTTGTTTTCTAACTCCAGGTCTTTTCATATTTCATTATAATACTTCACTTTGTCTTCTTGAGCTTCCCTTTGAATTTTTCTCTTCAGCTCTTTTATTTCATCATTTCTTCCATTCATTCTAGCTACTCTCCATTCAAGAGCAAGTTTCAGTGTCTCTTCTGATATCCATTTTGGTCTTTTCTTCCTTCCCTGATGATGTTCTTGAAGTCATCCCACAACTAGTCTGGTCTTTCATCATTGGTGTTCAGTGTGTCAAATCTATACTTCAAATGGTCTGTAAATTCAGGTGGGATATAATCAAGGTTGTATTTTGGCTCTAGTGGACTTGTTTATTTTTCTTCAGCTTCAACTTGAAATTGCATATGAGCAATTGATGGTCTGTTCCACAGTCAACTACTGGCCTTATTGTGACTGATGATATTTAGCTTCTCCATCACATCTTTCCACAGATGTAGTCAGTCTGATTCTTGGTATTCCATCTGGCAAGGTCCACATTCGTAGTCACTGTTAATGTTGTTGAGAAAAGGTATTTTCAATGAATAAGTCATCGGTCTTTCAAAATTCTATCATGCGATCTCTGGTGTCATTTCTATCACCAAGGTCATATTTTCCAACTACCGGTGATTCTTCTTTGTTTCCCACTTTTGCATTCCAATCACCAGTAATAATTAATATATCTTGATTGCATGTTTGGTCAGTTTCAGACTGCAGAAGTTGGTAAAAATCTTCAATTTCTTCCTCTTCAGCTTTAGTGGTTAGTGCATAAATTTAAATAATGGTAGTATTAATTGGTCTTCCTTATAGGAAGTGTATCCTATCACTAAGAGCATTGTTCTTCAGGATAGATCTTGAAACATTCTTTTTGATGATGAATGCTATGCCATTCCTCTTCAGTTTATCATTCTTGGCATAGTAGCCCATATCACTGTCTGATTCAAAATGGCCAATACCAATCCATTTCAGTTCACTAATGCCTAAGATACCAATTTTTATGTGTTCCATTTCATTTTTGACAACTTCCAATTTTCTTAGACTCATACTCCATACATTCCATGTTCCAATTACTAATAGATATTTGCAGCTATTTCTTCTTAGAAAGACAAGGCAGTTTCCTTCTATAAAGATTTATGGCCTTGGAACCCATATGCTGGTTGCTATCAGTCAGAATAGATTTGACGGCAGTGGGTTTATAAAGAGAATAGAGAAAACAAAGACAAACAGCTAGATGGAGAAAGCAAAGATTCTCCCTGACAAGTTATTGCCTGCTGACCCATGACTCTTACCCACCCATCAAGTTGGAAAGAAGAACGAGTCCATGCCTATTACTCTTCTTTCCTCCTCTTTGTTATTCCTACACTTAGAGGAGAAAAGAGCAGAACAGAGAGTAGCAGAACAGCCTTTGTACTTCTCAGTCTCAGTTCTTAACTGTCCCTACTCTGCTTCCTTGATATAGTTCTCAGCAGGAAAAAAACTCTATTGGGGGGAATGCCTGAGGCATAAGGCAGCAAGAAAAGTTACTGCTGTGTTAGGAAACATACCAGGGGGTATGGTGAGTTCATCCATATCCACTTCTGAGCACATGAAGAAAGAAATGGTGACACTGACTACTAAGTAATACAGAATAAACAGTTTAACTCTTAGGCATGTGCATCATGAGGCCTCACAGCTCAGCTACTTGTCTAAGAGTTGGTGGTGTACTTGCCTTTGCTTCTTGTTTCGTACATCTTAACTTTCTTTTCCTCGTATAAGAATTCATCATCCGATTCTGAGGCAATCGCCATGCAGCTGAATAATGAGACAATGAAAAACAAGAAATATGGATGCAACAGTCTTCTTTTCATGGCATTTTCTACCTTTCCAAAAATGAACGTGACCACTTTTTTAAAAAAACTTTTTTTTTTCCTGCAGTCATTCTATTCCCTTTCTTTGGAACTGCTGGATTTTTCTATTATTCCCAATTTTTCCATCTTTTGCAATTTTCTACTAAATGTCTCCATAGCATCCTTTCATCATTTGTGCCCTTTCAGAAGGGGTGTTTGCCAAGTACTGAGAGGAGATAGGCCCTGTCACAGAGTATATATATTCCCATTGTTTAAGGGCAGGGGAAAATAGATAAGGGAAAGGTCTAGGTCACTGCCATTTTTCCTTATCAATTTCAGATCCAATTATAGGAGAAGAACCACAGATGGACAAAGACAGTCTTAGAGCAGGGGTTCTCTCCTCAGTACCATTCTTTGCAACTCGAAGCTAGCTCTCTGACAAACTGCTCTAGCAGGAGACAATGTCAGCAGTGCCTCTGAACCACCTGGAGTTCTGGTAGTAAACTCCCCTACGGAATCCTCATTCTCAGCCTGCCCTGGCATTTTGGTCAGATGTTCCAGCAAGATTATAATTCATCACCTTTCTGCATTATCCAAACTGTGTACCAGAAGTATGGTATACTTTTCTCATGAGAGAAAAAAAATACATTCACAAGGGCAATGGTGTTGAACCTAGCTTTCAACAATCGATTATCTAATATATTAACAAAAGCACAAACAGCAAAAGACAAAATAAATAAATGGGATCTCATAAAAATTAAAAACTTTTGCTTATCTGAAGACCAACAAAAAAGATAAGAGACAAGCTACTGTCTGGGAGAATATCTTCAGAAATCATGTATCTGATAAGAATCCAATAACCAAAATATGTGTAAAACTTTGGCAACTTAACACCAAAAAGTCAACTCATTCATAAAATGGGCAAAGGACCGAAATAGACATTTCACCAAAGAAGACATTCAAATGGCCACCAAGCACATGAAAAGATAATCAATATCATTAGCTATCAGAGAGATACAAATCAAAACTACAGTGAGATACCATTTCACTCCCACATGGATAAAATAACAAATGTTGGTGAGGATGTGGGGAAATTGGAACCCTTATCCACTGTTGCTGGGAATATAAAAGGATACAGCTGGGTGGCAAACAGTACTCCTAGATATATACTCAAAAGAATTGAAACCAGAGACTCAAACAGAGACTTGTACACCAATGTTCATTGCAGCACTATTCACAATGGACAAAAAGTGTTGTTGTTGTTGTTGTTGTTTTGTTGTTAGGTGCCATCGAATCATCTCTGACTCATAGTGACACTATGCACAGCACAACGAAACACCGCAGAGTCCTGAGCCAGATCCACAATTCTTGCTACACTTGAGCCCATTGCCACCACCACAGTGTCAATCCATCTCGTTGAGGGCCTTCCCCTCTTTTGTCGACCCTTCAACTTACCAAGCATGACATCCTTCTCCAGGGAATGGTCCCTTCTGGCAACATGACCAAAATATGTGAGATGAAGTCTGGCCATTCTCGCCTCCAAGGAGCATTCTGGCTGCACTTCCTCCAGGACAGACCTGTTAGTTCTTTTAGTAATCCATGATACTTTCAGCATTCTTCACCAACACCGCAGCTCAAAAGCATCAAATCTTCTTCAGTCTTCCTTATTCATTGTCCAGCTCTCACATGCATATGAGGCGATTGAAAATACCATGACTTGTGTCAGGCGCACCTTAGTCCTCAAGGAGACATCTTTGCTCTTCACACTTCAAAGAGGTCCTTTGCAGTCAATTTACCCAGTGCTTTACATCTTCTGAAGGAGCTCTGGTAGCATAGTGCCTAAGGCACTTGACTGCTAACCACAAGGCTGGCAGTTCAAACCTACCAGCCACTCCTCGGAAGGAAGGTTGGGCAGTCCTACTTCTGTAGTGATACTGCCTTGGAAACCCAAGGAGGGGTCGCTATGAGTCGGGGGCCAACTTGATGGCACACAACAACAACAACCATTTATCATAATGTTGCTTATAGGACTACTTGTGAGGATTTTTGTTTTCTTTATATTG